TCTTTCTCATTTTTATTGGCTTATTATATTTCTGTAGGCATTTTTGCCTAATTGTTTGATCATTTGTTCATTTGCAAGTGTTTCAGCTATCAGAGAAACAATAGCACCGCCAAAAGAATACTAGATCTTCTTTTAGTTAGGAGAAACCAAACAGCAATTACAAAGTCTACACAAATAGAAGGGAAACTAAACACCGATAGAATATTTCCTGATTTGTATTGAACTGATTAGCTGAACTTTAATGTAAACCATTTTTATGGAGTTCTATCTATAGTAATTGCCCATTTGCCCTAGTGGATTTTCAATTTTAAGAACAAACATAAGTTCATGCCTCCATCATTTCGAACAAACTTAAACTCATGCCAACAACATTGTCATCATTTTTCATTTTGAAATTTTAATGAATGCGCATGCATTTATAATTTTGTGTATGTGAAATTTGGGCACATATGTGTTCATGTGATTCCATAATTTGTTTTACTTGAATTAAAATCTGAACACTTTGATTAATGTTTATATGTGTTGATAGAAATAAAATTCTATATGTAAACTTACTAAATCAAATTTAATTTTATATGTGGTAATGTTATTTCAAATATCTAAACATAACTGGCAATGAAATTCTAGGTTTGTAAACTTCATTGACAATAATCCATCCAATCACATTTCACCCTGTTTGTTTCAATAGAAAAGTAGGATGAGTATAATACAACAACAACAACATCCAAGCCTTATTCCCAAAAGATTATGGGGTAGAATGAATATAATATGTCGTAATTTTACCTGTCAAAACCAATAGATTTCTGAATTAAGTTTACAACCATAAGACTTTAATGTGATTGCATTATTTTCAATTAAATTTACTCACCTGAAGTTTTATTGTGATTGAATTATTCTTCTTGGTGTATAACAAAAAAGCTTAAACTTACCTCCTGATAATGAAATATGCTTTCCAATGTGTTGGTGACATTTTTGTTTTTGTAAACTGGACATCCATATATACGCGCCAATCTTACTCCTATTACCCATTTTGTTTTAGAGGACAAACTATAACATAAATTAAAATGTCATATTAATAACTGCGGTAGCTGAATTAATGTACAACAACAACATCCAAGCCTTATTCCAAAAAAATAAAAAATTAGTTTCATAATATCACTATGTGGAGCAAAAAGAAATACCCCGTAATTACAAATATATGATTACAATAAATGTTATTTACAAAAATGTGACTTCCTAAATATAGTGACAATAGTAACTTAGTGTCTTAGTCATAGTAATTTTTATTCAATTTTTACTATAGTCTTATAGTCTTATAGTGACTATAAGCCTATACTATAGTAACAATAGTCATATTTTTGTAATTAAGTTTCATTTCAGTAATATTTTTGAAAGAAAATTTTGTGAGATGTGTACACTTGTTTTTCCGAATGAACTCGGAGCGCCACAGAAGGCTCTTTCTACTATACTAACTTAATACGGGAGTATTTGCGTTTGTTTCTACTTTAAAAAAGTGACGCTTTTAAATGATTTTAAAGAAAGTGCTTAATAGTGGAAGTTGCTAGTGTTTTACTATAGAAGTGATTATGATGTAAAAGTTAAAGTCGAAGTGTTTGGTGGAAAAAGTGATTTTAGTTAGTAATGTTTTGTCAAATGTCCAGGTCTTGAATAAGCAAAGCTCCAGCGCAAAGCCTCCAGGTCTTAATATTTTTGTTCTCTATATTTCATAATTGGCCTGCAGTTTTCAACACACACATATTTATACTCGTATTATATATGAAGTTGATGCAGCGAAAAAGTTAAAATATTTGATTTTCTTAAATGGTGAATTGTCAAATAGCTTAGAGACCCGAATAAAAGACTAATGGATATATATGTGTGTACACAAATGTTCATGTCCGGAATTCCGGACAGGAACTGCCGTCCGGACGGCGGCGTTTGGCCGCCTTCCCGGTGGAATTTTTTGATGAAATTTTTATGGCATGTTCTCCATCAAGTCTAGTTTATTCACAAAAAAATTCAGCTAAAGAATCAATCGGGAAGGTTGTCAAATGATTTTTGGAAGATACCTGCTTTTTATATGTATATTTTTGGAGCAGTTATCTTCTAAAAATTATTTGATCACCTTCCCGAATGATTTTTTAGCTGAATTTTTGTGGGGATAAACTAGACTTGATGAACAACATGTCATAAAAATTTCATCGAAAAATTCCACCGGGAAGCGGCCAAACTCCGCCGTCCGGACGGCGGTTCCGGTCAGGAATTCCTGACCGGAAGAGTACTCTGTGTGTGTATATACGTGTATATAAATATATATATTTTCTTTTTGAAACATATTATTTATATGTCCAAAGTTGTACATTGAGTGAAAGAAGAGTTGCGTTTCAAGGGAAGATTGTACTTCAGGGCAACTTATTTTTTTCAATATTTATAGTGTAACTTTTTTCATTTTTCGGATTTAGCTCACCACACTAATGTTAAAGTTTAGTATAATTACACTTCAGCCGAGTGCAACTCAAATTCCTGGATCTGTTGCTGGTGCGCTTAGTAATGAATGTGTTGTGCACAAATGTGCTATTGCTAAAATGAAGAGAGACATCTTCTCGCCATTGTTAACACAATGTTGTTAACATTTTAGTTAAAGTCATTCTATTTTTTCAATTATCTCTAATTTAGACAATTCAACGAAAATTATAAATTATGACTTATGAGAGTTTCATCTCCTGTTTGATCTTACTTGGTCTTTCACTCCTGTGTGCGCGACCGGTTAAATTGTTGAGATGCTTTTGTAGATTCCTTTGCGCATTTTTCAGCTGCTTATCCAACTCTAAAATTTTCTTGTTCTATTTCACTTCATAGACAAATTTTTCGTCCTCACTCATCATCTCTCACGTAATCTGAGCCACTACATACACTTTTGTATTTTCTTGATCAAAATTTGTTCAACAAAATGCATTTTGATCGTTCCTTCCAAATCTAATTCTAATTAGAAAGTTCCAGAACAAGAACAGGGAGAGGAATCTGAAAACTATTTGAAACCTCTATAATTTCTAATTTCTAATCTCTACTCATTGAACAAGAGTACAAGAGAGTATATTGGTTTGTAGCATTCACATCCAAAGATAAATATCTTTCTATTAGAATTGAGAGTGTCTTTGGAAGAAATTTATCCATGAATGAGAATGTTACAAACCAGTATATTGCCTTGTCCAATGAGTGGAGATTAAAGATTAGAGAGATTTTAAGTAGGTTTCACATTTCTTTCCTGCTTCAAAACCTTTTGATTTGGAATGAATTTAAAATGTATTTTGTTGAACAAATTTTGATTAAGAGTAATACACAAGTGTATGTGGTGGCCCATAGTACATGAGAGCTGATGAGTGAAGATGTGAAACCCGTCTATGAAGTGAAATGGAATGAGAGAAACTCATAGTTGGATGGGCAGCTGAGAAATGCCACAGAGAAATCTACGAAAGCATCTCAATTTGGCGGTCGTGCATACAAGAAGAGTGTAGACCAAGTTAGCAAAACCAATTGTAGGTGGGAGCATTAAGGACTGCCGATTCAAATGAAATTTTCTAAAAAAATGAATTTTTCTTGAATGGTCAAATTAGAGATAATTGAAAAAATGACTTTTACTAAGGCTATGTTTGGCAGGCATAAGTCTATGACTTCTAGCTTTTGTACTGTTCAAAAAGTCTCTAAAAGCTTCTAGTTATTGTTTGGTATGACAATTTATAAGTGCTTTTCAAAAATTAAAAGATCTTTCTTGAGATGCTACAGGCAGTAGCATCTGAAAAAAGCCTGTGACTTTTAGTATTAATTAGGCCTAACAGCTTGTATACCAAACCGAACTAAATCAAACAGTCAGCTTCTTAGCAAACAGCTACCGCCTTTTCTTTTTAAGATCTTTTCACCCTCACTAAAAGATAACAGTTATTAAAAAGCTCACAAAAGTATCTTTTCAGCTAGTTGTGCCAAACATACTCTAAATTGCTAACAACTATTGGCGTTGCATGAGAGTAGGGATGGACTGGGCCGAACCGGCCCGGAACCGGACCGGCCCGCTACTGTGCGGGCCCGGACCGGACCGGGCCCGGTTGGCCGGTTCCGGGCTTTTAGCCCGTGTTGGCGGGTCGGGCGGGCCGGTTCCGGGCCCTATTTTTGTTGAACCGGCCCGGGCGGTTCGGGCCGGGCCCGGTTCATTTTTATTTTATTTTTTGGTTTTTTCAATTGTTTTTCTTTTCCTAGGGTAGGGCTGGGTGTTTTAGGGAGGTTTGGGGCGTGGGGGTGAGGGGGGGGGGGGGGGTAGGGAGATAAGAAAGTCAAAAAAAAAAAAAAAACATTGAACCAGGCCCGGCCCGGCCCGGTTAGGCCCGGACCCGGTATCAACCCGGGCCGGTTCCGGGCCCATGTAACCCGAAAAAAAGCCCGCCCGGGCCCGGCCCGGGTCCATCCCTACATGAGAGGATATATCTTTTCATTTTAGCAACAACACATCTGTGCGCACCTCTTTTTTCACTCGATGTACACCTTTGGACATATGAATAATTTGAGTCAAAAAGAACATATGTATGTGGATATATATATATATATATATATATATATATATATATATATATATATAGAGAGAGAGAGAGAGAGAGAGAGAGAAAACTTCATGTCCAGCCGGCCTGACGGGAACCGCCGTCCGGCCGAGGGCATTTCGGGCACTTTCCGGTGGAATTTTTTGATGAAATTTTTTGAGCATGTTCTTCATGAAGTCTAGTTTATCCATACCAAATTTCAGCTAACAATTCAATCGGGAAGACACTCAAATAATTTCTTGAAGTTAACTGGGCAGTTCATACATATAAACTGCCCAGTTAACTTCAAGAAATTATTTGAGTGCCTTCCCGATTGAATTTTTAGCTGAAATTTGGTATGGATAAACTAGACTTCATGAGAACATGCTCAAAAAATTTCATCAAAAAATTCCACCGGGAAGTGCCCGAAATGCCCTCGGCCGGACGGAGCATCCCGTCAAGCCGGCTGGACAAGAACGGGACACTCTCTCTCTCTCTCTATATATATATATATATTTTATATATATATATATATTTCTAGTTTAGATCAAATAAAAAAAGTCATAATGTGTAAAATAAGAATTAATCTCAGATATTCAAACCGTCAATTTGATGCATAAAAAACCTTATCTTTTGCACTTTTTCAATATTTAAGAAAATGTCATCCCGTCTAGATGTTGGAAAAGTGCATCAGATAAGATTTATTCGAAAAGTGCATTAGATAAGTATTATTGTGCATCAGATTGAGAGTTTGGACGACTGAGATTAATTCTTATTTTATACGTTAAAACTCTTTTTTATTTGAACCCTCCCCTATATATGTATGTGTGTATATATATGCATATATATCCATAAGCTTTTCATTCGGGTGTTTCCAAGCTATTTGTTAATTCACCATTTGGGACAATAAAAAATTTTAAAAAAAGAAAAAATGAACACTCAACGGAATAAATGAAGATTAAATAACACATAAAAAATAAAAAAAAAATATGGAGGTCTTTCTTACTGCCTCTGCCACACCTACCTGTATTGCTGTCTCCAATCAACGAAAACGCCATATTATGTAAAAATGCCATCTATTCTCTGAAAATGCAATGAAGATTACATTATTATTCTTTGAAAATGTCAATTTTTTCTCTAGAACTGCCATCAAGATAGCATTATTGATGCATGTTGCCATTTTTCCGGTGCTGGTGCTGGGAGGTACCTTAGGCAGCGGCAAAGGCTTGCATATTTTTTTACTATTTTTTATTTTATTTTTTATGTTTGTTTTATAAATTTTATATTTTTCTTTTTCATTTTTATTAATTTTTATAAACATTTATTTTTGGTTTTTTATATTTAAAAAATTTATTATAAGCAGAATTACTTTATGACTTTTATGTTTTAATTATTAATAAAAGTTTGATTTGTTTTAAAACATAGCATGGGTATGATTGGAAAGTTACTCCTATGGAGGGAATTTAAAAGTTATTCCGTATATTTCTATTTATGCCATTTAAATTTCATTTGGTTCTATTTGGAGGATATCTCTATACTCCATTTTTTTTATCGCAAAAGGCCTAGTTATTATTACTAGCGCAAGACCCTTCTTGGATTTGGGACGGTCTTGTTGTTATTTAAACCTGTTCACGAACACTTATACTATCTACTTCGTATATAATTAGTGGACATCAACAAACACGTTAGGACTTGTTTGCAATTTCCAAATGTGCTTCACTATTAACGGTCTTTTGATAATAATAATAATAATAATAATAATAGGTTTTTCCAAAAATATTATTAAAATAAAATTCTTTTACGAAATATGGCTAAAAGTTTTCAAAATATAGGGTCATGATATAAAACCTGAACGTAAGTTATTACACTTAAATTATTATTATATTTACTACACTTTGTGATCAAGTATATGTGTATATGCTTATATTAGAATGTTTTTAATTGATCTGGTTTCAATCGCACACCTCACCAGATCAGATCATTTTAACATATCTTACCACACAAGACCATACTTAAACAGACTAGGTAAGACTTAGACATTTGTAAAATACACATAGAGCAATCATCTATCAAACCATGGAGACAAGGTGAGATCATATATTCACGGAACGTTAAGTTTACCAAAAGCTCTTAATTCCATCTCCAAATTAATGGCTATAAATTAAGTACTTGCACATTCTTAAATAGTTATGTTTTCCTTAAAAACGCATTTACTTATTTCCTCCGTTTCTGTTCATATAATGGTCTGTTTACCTTGTATGCATTAAATAGACGTCAGTCTTAAAGTCACAACTCACAAGTATAATCAAAGTCTGGATATAGGGAAATCTTCCCTAGACATTCTTAATATGTATCCATCTTCACAGTTGTGTTTTGGAACATTCTTGATTGCTGCTTTTCTTTGCACACGTTTTGCATGCCAAGTAGGTGGTGAATCTCTTGAGGGGGGAGGGCAGAATGAGAATTATACAACCATTTACGTCGACTCTTCTGGCCAGGGAAATTACCAGACAATCCAAGCAGCAATCGATTCAGTTCCTGCTGACAATAAGGATTGGATATGCATTCATATCAAAGCCGGAACTTATAGGTAATCCAATTTAAAGTCTTAGAGTAGGAAACTTCCCAAAACAGGAGAAGATAGTGTTTGAAAAGTACTTATTCTCACCGTATACTGTCATGTTTCGACATTACTGATTTTAAATGTGGTGGTATATTGTCATACTACCCCGTTCCTAAAAATACTTCCCAATTTGACTTGACACGCTTATTAAGAAAGTGGAAATGTATGATTGTAGTTGTGTAAGAAAAAGGTAAAATGAATGTGAACCACACAAATTGTCCAAAAAGGGAAAGTGAGAAGTATTTTTAGAAACAGGCCAAAAAGGAAAGTGGGAAGTATTTTTAGGAACGGAGAGAGTAGTTGACAATTTTTTCGAACCCTTATGATAGTAACTCCTCACAACAACTTCCAAGCCTTATTCACAAAAAATAACAATAATTTATCCTATATGGGTAAAAGTTACTCTTATTTTGAGATTTCTAAACATTTTTACTCATATTTTGGACGATTTAAGTTAAATTAATTAATTCTTACTATTGGTCCCTCTTGGAAATGAATTCGTTTACACTCGGGTATCTGATCGGGGTTAACTTTTTAAACCACATATTTTTTCAAAATCTATGCATCGGCGAAAGTTGAATTATTTTTTTTATTTATTAAATTAGGAAATCAATTTTCATGTTTTTAGTGTTTTATATTTATTTTTAGATATACGATCAAAAAATATATATTTACGTTTAGATATCGTAAATTTACCAAAATAAATAAGTTTCTAATAGTGACTCTGGTCCATAGATCATAGAAAAATATGCGGTATTAAAAAAATTGCCCTAATTGAACATATAAGCTTAAAATAAAGAATGCACAAAATTTGAAAAAATAACGCCTTTTTGATGCGATTGTAGCTATTATTTCAGTAAAAAATATATTGTTTATCTTAGAAACTATAAAAGTACTTATTCGCTTGTTAATCTTTGTTTGTGAAAATGAAACGATCGAATTTCTATGTCTCAACAGCAACAAAAGGATGAAAACATGTATCTAGATTTGAAAATGGAAAATTGAAAAATAAAAAGAAAACAAAAAACAGGAGAAAGAAGTAAACGAGCCCGTTTATTCATTGATCACCCAGAGACGACAAGTAGACACATAATTATATTGTGATAACACGAATCGAGCCGAGACATTGCCAAGATCAAGCTCTTAATGGGGTGTTTGGTAAATGGCGTTTCAGCCAAAAATGACGATTTGATCACTCTTGACGTTTTCGATGAGTGAAAACGTTGTTTGGTAAATAGCGGTTCGGCACTAGCGTTTTTGGACGGAACGTTTGAAATGAAAACAATGCAACCAATTTTATTCCGCTGGTCAAACCCGCGTATTGAATCCGCTATTAACAATCCGCTAACATAATCCGTTATCCGCTAACCGCTAACTGCTAAATGCCTAATACGCCCAACCGCTAACATTTAACTTTTTTATTATTAGGCCTTTAATTAATTAATTAATTTGCATGAATTTTTTCTTTCTTTTGATCCAACCCTGCGTGTAGAGAACAGGTGAGGATCCCGAGCGAGAAGCCATATTTATATCTAAAGGGAGAATCACAAAGAAGAACGCTCGTAATTTGGGATGGACATGACAGCATTCAGAAAGCCACCTTTTCTTGTGATGCTGAGAATATACTCGTCAAAAGCATCACTTTCATTGTACGAAATCAATACTCTATTTTATTTCTACTTTCAATCCCCCATTTTATTTTAAACTATTTGAGTTCGTCTCCAAACCCCAAATATGGCCTGCAAATTCAAACATTTGTTCCAATTATGGGTTGCAAGGTCTACCACAAATTTCTCACTTTTCGGGATTTAAGAGTGCAAATTCAAAGTATTTTCCAAATTGAGTTTAAAATTGAATTTTTGAAAACTCAAATTTCTCAAAAATTGGAGTCCAATTTTGACTTTCAAGAATACCCATAATTAATTTGAAAGCAAATACTAGTAAGCTAAATATAGGGATGATATTAATATTCACTTATTATGAAAACTGATTCTCTCTAAATTATTGATTGATGGTGAATAGAATTCTTACAACTATCCGCCGGAAAACAGCACGAACCCAAGAAGAGTGGCAGTGGCAGCAAAGTTATCCGGTGATAAAATGGCGTTTCACCGGTGCGGGTTTAGGGGATGGCAGGATACGCTGTGGGACGAGGGTGGCCGCCACTACTTCAAAGGATGCTCCATTAGTGGAGCTGTAGATTTCATTTTTGGTAACGGCCAATCCATCTATGAGGTAATTCAATTTTTAATTTATTTTTCATTTGTTGTTATTTCGTGAATATTAAATAATGACATCACTAAAACATCCCATTTCAAATGCATCCCATTTCAAATGGATTGCTCCCCAAAGTTTATGCTCATTTAGTAACACAAAAATTGTCATTTTATCTTTTAAATGTACATTATGAGAGGAAAACTATAGAGCTTCTTCAAAATACTCCCTCCGTTGCATTTTTGTTATCCTACTTTCCTTTTTGGGTTGTCCCAAAATGAATGTCTTGTTTTATTTTTTGGCAAGAAATATGTGGTCCTTAATACTTATCATTTCACTTTATTTGACTCAAATCATACTCAAATCTCAACCTATACTTTTACTGTTCAACCACTTTATTAATAAATGTGTCAAATTAAAATAGCAAAGCCACTACCGGACGACGGAGGTAGTAATAGTTAAATTATACTCATACCTAAATTTAACATTCTATCAATAGTTAGATTATGAGCAAAGTACTGCTCATTAAACCGCGGTTGGGTATTTAAAAAAAAAACCACGGTTGGGAGAATCGCCAAACCAAAGGGTGACTTCGCTCCCAACTTCGGAAGGTAACATGCGCTGGAATAGAAACGGCCTAGTGTGGAGGAGGGTGGGATAAGGTGGCACGTGGACCTAAATTAAAAAAGTCACTTTTTTTTTTAAATTGTTATATCTTTTACTTTTTTGCTCAAAATATTTTAAAAAATATACCAAATTTCAAAACCTTTCATATAACATTAATATTGGATATATAAAATTAAAAAAAAAATTGAAGACCATGTGAGGCTAAAAAGGCCCGTTGCAACCCGTAAATTAGATGGTACAATTGGTTGTACCATGCACACAATACTACCGAGTATTTTTACTCACACATAATGAAATGAGTATTAATATGAAATTATAAAATTAGTACACAAGTATTTTTTATGATAATACAATGATAAATAGTTAAATGAATAAGTTGATTTGTGGCATCTATATTACATGTAGATCATGATACTCAATTATACACTTCTAATGCTCTATTTTGCTATCAATACAGTAATTTAATACAAATGCTCATTTTTAAGGTAATACTCATTACATGTAAAAAAAGTAACCAGTTGCATGGTAAGCACCGTACAACCGGGTGTACGGTATAGGCAGGGGCGGATCTAGCATTTGCGTTGAGGTGGGGCCAAATTTTAATTACCAATACGTAATTTATTTTGCAAAAAATGTTAAAAGTACAAGATGTAGTTATATAATTATACAGAAGTGTCAAAGAAAAAATAAATAAATACTACAAAACCGAAAATTTAATTATCTTGAAAGAACCATAGATACCTTACCGAAATTGGCTCGCGTCAGTTACTAAAGTGTTCAATACCAATTTTCAAGTTGATTTCTCGAAAATCAATTTTCTTTTGACTCCATAGTCTATGCTCTATGTAAAAAAGTAAACTAATTAAATCTTACCTACCAAGCAGAATGAATTGAACTTATTAATTTTTTAAATCAATATTCAAAAGTCCAATGATGTGAACTAATTAATTTTTTAGACTAATATTCGAAATTCTAATGAATCGAATTAATTAATTTTTCAAGCTAATATCCAAAAGCTTATCAAAAAAATTCCTCATGTTGCATTGAAAATTTATTAATATGGTGCCTAGGAGACTCGAACCTAACTACTTTTGTTGCATAATTAGTGTGCTTCCATCGGAGCAACTTGACTGATGTTTACAAATTGGCATTAGCTTTTTTTATATCATAACCTATGAAGCACGGATACTTCCCTAGGGTAGCGTATCGGCGTATCGGATACATTCCCGTATCCGATACTCTATGATACTCGTACCGTACGTTTCCGGGCCGTATATGCAATTTTTAAAAGTTTTCATTTTTTTTTAATTTTTTGAAAGTTTCCGATACTCGTATCCTGACGGATACCCGTATCAACCATTTTTATATAAAAAAAAATCCCAAAATTTACTTAATAAAATTCTGAAAAAAAAAATGAAAATCTAAAACTACACTTTACTTGGTAATCAAATAATGGGCCTATATGGCTATATCCGAATTAAGTCATTAACTCATACTCCGAAGTGGGTACTTGCATTTTTAATTTCAAGATTGTAGTTGTTTGATTTATTTCTCATTTTAAATTAATGACTCATTGACTACATTTATATTTCGAGATACACTAGTGTATATGAGAAATATTATGAATTTATTACTAAATATCTTGAAAAAGGAAAATGCTCCAATGCAATGAATGAGTAGACATCATAGGATATTTTATGTGTATATATATATATATTCAAAAAAAATAATATTTATAAATAGACCCCTATAACTTTTTATATTTGTAAATACACCCCCATAACTTTTAATATTTATAAATATGGCCCCGTATCCGTATCCTACTTTTTTTTGTTTTGACGTATCCCCGTACACGTTTCCGCGTTTCCGCATTTCCGCGTACCGGTATCGGTGCTACATAGATCATAACTACTAAAACACTATATACATAGATCATAACTACTAAAACACTATATAAAACACTATATATATATATATATATATACTAATAATTATATTTTTTTGAGCATGGGCCTAGGCCCACCCTGGCCATGGGCCAGATCCGCCCGCCCCTGGGTATAGGCTCTCGTTGGAACAATGATCTGTCATTGGTTCAAAATTTTCATAAACAAATCGAAATGTAAAAATTAAGATATCATTGTTATGAGGATCTCTTTTAGATATTTTTCATAGGAAGTAAACTAATATGTTTAGTTAATATATTGACAATTCTAGCTTTTCTAAAAAATGTTACCCCGTAAATCAAGTTTTAACATATAATCTATCATCGTCAGTACATTCACTAAATATATTTTTTATTTTACTTCAGATGAAAAATCACATATAAATGATTTAAAAAAATAACGACAAGATCATAATTTTAGCACTTGGATCTACTTAAAAAAATGAACCTAGATCTACCGATTAGATCTGCCATTTTTGTAAAAAAAAAATCTTTACAGTAAGGTTTAGTGACGGAGCATGGGTGCAACTGCAGTACGTTTAGTGACTCTGATTTTCGACGTATCAAACTTATCAGTCAACTTTTTAACCAAACACGTAACTATTGATTTCGCGCACTACATTGTGCAATAATAAGAAAAAGTAAGATTGCAGTTACTTTTCTGGCTGTATTGGTTGAAGTTACTGTGGATGACCATTTTAGCTAATTTTCATATAATTGATTCGTTATTTTATTAATAAAATATATTTTAAATATAATTTTTTCATAGATCAGAAAAATTTCCCAATACAACCACTTCAACCAGAACTTCATAAATTTAATCAGAATCAGGCGATTCAGCAAATTTTAGTGCTACCAAACAGACTCCTAACCTTTTCACCTCATGTGGCATTGTGGTGTTCAAATTCTTTTAAAAAGTTATATGAAAGATCTTAAAAAGTTATAATATTTGGTAAAAGATAACCGTTTAAAGAAAAAGGGTTTTTTTTAATCTTTTATCTCCCACCTTTTTTCCCTCTCCTGTGCAACACTGTTTGTGTGTTCCAGCTCTCGGCTGACCGTGTTTTGAAGCAAAGTCGCCATACCATTTGGCGTTTTTGTTAACTATAGTTGAGATCTAGCAGTATCTTGGTAAATAATTGTTACTTGACCTTATTTTTGTAAATAGTTTATTTGTTAGCATCAATTTAGAAAAAAACTCAAATAAATCTTTATAGAAAATGAAAGTGTGTTTTAACTTATCTTAATTAGTTAGTCAATACTCCCTCCTTCTCCTTTTAAATGTCCCGTTTTATCATGTTGGGATGTCCCTATTTAATTGTCTCATACCTTATTTGGTAAAGTTTGTGTGGCTCAAAATCATTCTTACTTTATTCTTACTTTATCAATTAATATCAACCACACAAACCCACTTTTCTTAAAACTCGTGTCACCCTCTTCCGGGACATTTAAAAGGGGACGGAGGGAGTATATAGGAACTTAAAATCTTAACAATTAAGTATTCCATAAAGGCATAAATATTACTTTCTTACTTCTCATTGTAGAGTTGTTCTATATCAGTAGAGAGAGGTGCTGAAGAAGGGATGATTGGGTACATCACAGCACAAGGGAGGCAGGACCCCGGAGAAAGCAGTGGGTTTGTATTTAAGAAATGCACTGTTCATGGATCTGGTGAAGCTTACTTGGGAAGGCCATGGAGAGACTATGCTAGAGTCATCTTTTTCAAAACTTACATGGATAACATGATTGTCCCTCAGGGATGGACAACCAGTTCTGACACTTCATCCAAGTGAGTATAAACTAACTCTATCATATTACCTTGTTAATAATTACTTTCTCTTTCCCATAAAACTTAATCAAATTGAGACCGTATGGTCTTTAAAGTCTAACTACTTGAAGACTCCTATATGTTATTATTGGCATACGTAGTCTAAAATTTTGTCTAAAATAATGGTGGATGAAAATTCAGAAAACATAAAGATATTTCCCTTTAATGTGAACTCGTAGACATCTCCCTTTAATTTTTAGCGAGTTCTAGCGTATAGGCTGTGTGTTAATGTAAAATCAGAACTCCAACGAGGAGCTCAATCCTTGTCAGGCTCAACCTGAGCACATGAACTTCAACATTGAATTATTCCAACAAGTCGCTTTGTTTGGAGGCATGTAAGCATGTCAAGTCATCTTACATCGATCCAATATAAAATGACAAACTCACATATAAAGCCTTAGGTTTAGCCAACTTTGTAAAGCTTTTAAGATGGCATGGGACTCGAACATCCGCCAATTGGTATGTACAATGTACAATGTATCATTAGTTGGTTCTCTAATGTACAATTGTATCATTAGGGAACCAACTAAATTATCCGTGCTGGATTAGAAAAGGTGAAATCTCTCACTCATTCACCTACCATAACTCTGGCTTAATAGAGTTGTGGAGAGGTAATTGTTGTGACTATAGCGCCCCCATCAAATCCATCAATCTATCATCAAAAGACAAGTCCCTCACACTCCCAAGCCCCCAAAGAATCCCACAATATAATGCATCACTAGGACATGTACTATGACTATTGGTGCAACCTATCTTCAATTAACCAACTAAATTATCCCTGGAGATTCAAAAAGGTATAAGAACATGCATGGATATGAGACCTTTCAACAATCTCAATCAGTACAATGTGCTGCCTTTTAATTTGCAGTATGTTCACTTCTTGAATTGAACTCAAATTAATAACTGTCATTTGGGTTGACCATTGTGTATTACCATTGATCCATCAAAAAAGTGAACTTAATTAGGGTATTGTTATCGTTGACTTCATTGTCTTATAATTGGGTTTGTTGCCATGCATGCAGTTTGGATAAGTTGACATTTGCAGAGCAGGAGTGTAGTGGACCAGGGGCAGAAAGATCAGGGCGAGTGAAGTGGGTAGCGGAACTGAGAGGGGATGAGTTGGATAAATTTACAAGCCTCTCTTACATTGATGAAGATGGCTGGCTTCGTGGCCTTCCCCAAAATAAGCTGTTTGTGTAAAATTACCAGCATATACCATCATCTTCCATACATGGCAGTACTATAGTCTATAAATATCATATAAATGGCAGTAAAATAAAAAAACAAGATTTTATACGACAGAAAATTTGGTGCAAAATTCTTTTTAATACATATATAACCATATATATATATAGCATTTCTAGTGTCACAACTTGTCATGTATGTAAAATATTTTCTTTTTAGTGCCACTATAATTCTGGGCAATTTTTATTTAAGGAAAAAATTATTATCTGCTGCGTAACTGAACGCTAGTCAGAACTCAGAACTGTGAACTTCATCAATTTGTTACTTCTTAAAAACCAAATTAAATTTAAAACAGTATGACACCAAAAGTAAATATTAGACTTTAGGCATATATAATATCTCTTGTAACAAAAGTAAATATTTAAGCAATCAAGCATACATAATATCTCTTGTAACATATTAAAAAGGTAGTAATAATCCCAGAATCCAAATTCCAAAAACAGGTTTAGGCCTATATTTAGTTTTAGGCCTAAAAAGTACTACATAGTATATTTTTTAGCATTATTTATATGATATATATACTATTTAGTATACACAATTTAGCATATATACTTAACTTTTTATATAATTCATTAATAATGTTACGGATCGGGCAACGGTGCGGGTACCCACACCATTAGTGAACGGGTCAGTTTCGGAGCAGATAACGGGGCGGATTAGTATAGAACCATAACCGCACTATTAACCATTTAAAAAATTTGGGTATTCCCCACCCCATACCCATTCCCCAGTCAAACCGGTTTTCCCCAGTTTGACCAAATCGATTTGGTGTGGGTATCCAACGGGTCGGCCGAAATTGCCATCTCTACCTCTCACCCTCAAAGGCTCAAACTATCAAAGTAGCAAATGTACCAAAACATCACAAACACAATTACTTTTCAAGAGGCACAAACAGCACTTTTTTGTTGTGAGGCGCACAAAATAGGTCAAACTCATCCTATCCTCATAAAAAACATTACAAACTTTTTTGTTGTAGACTATTATATTCTTCACCCGGTGAAACTTTCTCTGTTCAGAACTACGGAGTAAAACAAAACCAAAAAACAGTACATTCAATAAATTATATTCAAACCTTTACTTTTTTTTTCTTTTTGGATGTCTTTAAGCTTTCATCACCCTGCTGCTGTTTTTTCTCTTTTTCATCTCTCCTGACTCTTTTCTTCTCATTTTTGTCGCTAGATTCGGATGGCACATTATGCTCACTTTCCCTTATAAGAGAACCATTAGTGCCATCCTTGACCTTTTCAGTTCTTTGTATTTTACTTTTCACTTTCGAATAATCATCACCCACTGAGTACTTGTCCAATCCTCTCTCTCCGGATGATTGCTTCTTGGCTGACTTCGTTTTAACCTTTGAACCCTGATGAGCCAAAAACGGGACACTAGATGTTCTGGAAGAAGCTAAACTAGTCTCGATGTCTTTCTTCATTTCGTTTAACTTTTCAGGCTGTGACTTATGACGAGTGTCAGCAAGAAAACTATCTTTTCTCGTTTTGGTATCAGTGGTTCCAAATTCAGCATAAAATTCCTGTCTGACGGATTGATTTGAGGCTTGTCTTTTTTTCCATAAATCTGGTTGTTTTGCATATCTATGATCACAACAAACACGCGTAAGCAGAGAAAACCAACGAATATAAAATCTAATGCTTACAGAGATTGAAACAAAGTCCTTCCACGAACTTTGTTCCGAACTCTGCAAAAATATATATAGAAATAGATCTGACAGCCTGCAGTATGTGTGACCATTTTCAGACGGTTCCTGATCATCTCTCTCTCTCTGTGTGATGAAAAACAAATGCGAGTCCATTTTAAATTTTATTTACAAGGTGTGGCCTAGGGCTGGGATTTTAGAGCCATAGAACCAATTAGAACTGCACTATGTATACTCGGTTCAGTTCCTACTTGTGAATTATAAGTTCTTAATAGTTCAGTTCCTAGTCTTTGTTAACGAGCCCGATTCCTGCTAAAATTATGTTGGGGGAACCATTAAGGAAACATTATTTTATATTTATAATTATATTTACAGAATTATAGTTATAGTTATTAGTACTTATTACATAAATTTATATCTATAAGCATAGTTATGTGTGCGTTCTTGTGCATGTATGCATGTGTTGTAATTAAATCCAGCTAGATGTACATCCCAATGCATCTTTTGCTAATAGTTGTTCACTTGACATTCTTTTGCCTGTTATTTTTTTATTTGTTAATTTATTGATATTCTTTTTACTAATTATTTGTTAGCTTCATGTTATACTTTTCTATAATAATGATTAACCAATAACACACAAGAAACGAACCGATAGGATATTAACGGTTCTTGAAAAAATGTTAGAAGAAAACCAATATAGAATAACGATTATTCGAATGGTTCCAAATTCTTTTCAAAGAACCATACTGATCCCACCCTTGGTGTGGCCAGGAGAACCTAAAAAGCCGCTTATTTATACAATGTATACTCACACCTTCCTGCGAAATTGATTTTTATTTGTATAACAAATGCTCTTAATTTACTACATTCTGAATTTCTGATGGGCCCTATGCTTTATATTTTCATCACAACAGGTGAATGGTCAAAATTTGAGGGGAGTGGAACTTACCCATCAATATCAAACCTCCTAAGCAGGAAAGGTCCCTGTTTTGTTCTTGATAACTCAGCTCGCAATGGTAACATCTCTGAAACAATGGTCTCCCTCAAAGATAAGTTGCTTGTATTGAAGCACTTCTCAATCATAAATGAACCTGATGGATGAACTGAGAGCTCACCAAAATGACCTTGCAGCCTAAAGTGTTAACGTAAGTTTCATGGTAAATATGTTGTAAAGAGAATATAATTCAGCCTGAAACAAGAAAATAGCCGAATAAACTAACAAGGGGTAACTCCAAATACGTACTTGATCACTAACTTCCTCTTCAATTTTGCAGAAACATTTGAATTTAAAAATGCTTCAATAACGCGTGAACCGCTGGGATCTTTAGATACTGCAAGAAGTTGATGTTCTTCCAAGGATGTGATACTAGAAACAAAAGTTTTTACAAGTTCCTAGAGGAGACAAAATTCTGAATAATTAAGATTATCATATTCAATAGAATAATTACAAGTGCATTTAGTCGTTGAAAGTAAAGCAGCAGGTCACATCTAATAGAATTTTTCATATTTTAGTACCACAGCTGTTGAGTCATTGACATATTTAATTCCTAACCATTAGTTTGGCAACATTTAGTCCCACAAATTCATTAACATTACAACATTTGGTCCTCAAATAATTTATTCGTCCAAAAAAATCTCAATTCATGAGTACATTAAGTGAATTCCAGATCCATCCAATGAAGTACATGAAAGCTTTGAGATTCCATTCGGGCAATATCCATTCAACCAAAGAAGAGCATTTTGCAATTACTGGATTTCCCCTGGATTAAGGTTTATTAGATGAAAAGAGAAAAAGAAACTATTTATGTGAATATACGCAAATTCATTATAACAAAGGGTGGTTAGACTAAAAGTTAGAGACTATGCTGCAGCACCCAAATAGTTATGGAACTAAGAGTAACTTAGTCACAAGTTAATTTTGCATTATAAAACCAAGACAAAAAAATGACGTTAACATGCAACAGAGTTATAATAAGTTGAGCAAGCTAGGGATAAATGAGGTGTTTCAATAAAATAAATAAGACTGATTTTCTTTTTTTCTTTTCCTTGTCTTCTCTGAACATGATGTGATCGCATATAGAGGTCAATCAACATCAAATAGGTCACAATATGCTTATTTAGTAAGGCAATAACCCACCCCTTTTACCCCCACTATAGACTAATAAAAACACTGAAAACCATGAAAACCAATAAAAAAAGATTTAACACATACACTGTGAAACCTAAAAATTGACTGCAGGATCAAAGAACCAACAACATGTATCCTGGAATGGCTTGGCCAACTCCAATTAAGCCTGTCTTCAGAATTAAAAAAACTGTCAAGGAACAGTATGCGTGGAATAATGCACTTGAGAGATTCATCCCCTACACATACAGCAGAAGCAAGTGCCTGACAACACTGCACCAAGAATAAGGGAAAAGTTTGAGACACTACATCTATTTTTGCTTAAGCTAGTTAGTAGAGGTGAAAACATATGATCACAAATCCAAACCTCTGCTTCACGGTGATTGAGCTTTTGTGTTGCAGCAACAAGAGAAGCAATAACTCCAGACCGGCCCATTTCAAATAGCTCCTTAAATTTAGTTCCAAGCTCACCCCAGATCACATCAATCTAATTGTAGAAATGGGAGGAGATTAAAAGGAGTTTAGCATGAGCAACCAATTGCAAGATTGATCTTTAAAATCAGTAATAATTTGTGTGCTACTGCACCTTAAAATGAGCCGCATGTGTGAGGTCTATGCAACAAAATGTTATAGGAAGTTTGAATATGTAGTGTAGAGAAAGAGGGTGTGGAATCTACATTCTTTTGCGGCGTTGTCCATAAAAAGATAAATGTTTTAAACGCAAACTTAAATCACGAGATTTACATGTTCTGAGCTTTTCGCGTGGGAAGCTAAAGCCTGAACAACAAAGTTCCCACAATGATGTGATGACATGTGAAACAATGAGGTCTTGAAAACTCTCTGTAATAACTCATTGTATACAGTATCAGGAGAAACTTCGAGTATGACCTGTACAATATAAATACAAAATTAAACTCCAACAAACTATACCAATCCAGTGAAACTGATAGTAACCACCCTTAACTGTTTTGTGAAAGTCAAAGACCTAATAATCTCACACAAGTATCGATGCAGTTGCATGTCACAGTAGTAGGATGAGAAAGACGAGTCCCAAAGATCTCTAGGACCAGAAAATTGAAGAACAGTACAAAATTTGTTCTAAAAAGTTTTAGACAAATTAAACAACATAGGGCCCAAATTATTATCATACCTCAATTAGATGACTGTAAGCAGGTTCTTCTATATGCTCTGAAATTTCTTGTAATCTTGATCTTCCTATTAAGTTCCCGTCCATGTCCATGTCGAAACCAAGAATAATTTGAACTACTTTCAACAATAGCTCCGGTTCATTTCCAACCAATAGTTTCAAAGCTGTCTACCGTTTGATTGGTAGGATGTGTCAATAAGTACAATATGTGCCAAAACACGAAGAAATAATTAATT